TATTAAATAGTTACAATTAATATAAATATGTATATACATAGGACAGAATCACAACATTAAGTGGTAATTAGTTTTTTTTAATTATCATTAAAGTATCGTATTGCCCTTTTAATTTCAGTCCAATTGAATGCTTTAACGCGTGAAAAAAAACCTTTTCAAGTTTTGACACAAGTCGCCAATATAGTCGCTAAGTCGCCAACGTGGCTGTATTTGTAACTCTTTAAATAATTAGTTTTAATCAATGAATTTTTATTAATTATAATTAAATTATTGTATTGTCATCCAAAATGATCCTGTATATAAAATTTCAGCTCAATTCAGCGCTTTAAAATGTATTTTATTAACGATTGAAAATTCCACCAAGATAAATAAATATACAAATATATAAATAAATAAATATATAGACAGTGCGAGCTATATATGTATATATATAATAGTGTAGAAATTGAAAAAAGAAAGAAAAGAAATTGATGGATTGAATTGCTTCATTTACATAATTTCCCGCTAAATCTTTAGTACATTGTTTTTAAATAATTTAATTTTTTAGTGCAATGGGCCATACCTGGGCCACTCAGAAAAGGCCACCAGGCCACATGCGGCCCGCGGGCCGCAGGTTGAGTCTCACTGCACTACATGAAACGTCTCAAAATCCTGAATTTGATGAGTGTGATACTAGTTCAGATACCATTATCATTGTTAAATCATTATTCAAAATTACTTTTCTCTCAGTAGACCATTAAATTGAATTTAATAGATTGAATTTAATATTAAAAAGTGCTAAATTATATTAACCAGTTATCCAAGATACGTTCGAAATAAAGGCAATACATGAAATATTATTATTTAAACTTTTTGCCAAAAAATGAATTATATCGCACTTTTTTCTTAATATTTAAACTGCTTATTTCAACAATTAAAACATTTTAAAGAAGTTTCAATGGAAAGCAATTTTTTGAAGGATACTGTGTTCAAGAAGCAACAGTCATTTATATTTAGTTAAGACATAAAACTTTACATTATTGATATTAAAAAATAACTGAGTGCAGCTTTGGCATAAATATGGGAATGCAGTGATATTAAACATACCAATTTCTTTGAAAGGGAAAAAACATTTCTTAATATGTAGTTTGAATTCAGTTATTTTGATGCACTATTAAAACTCTTTTCATAAAAAGACCGAATTGAAATAGCTTGTAACATTTCTTTCAAAGCATGAAAACATTGTAAACAACAATAATATCACGCTAAAAATGCTGTATCCATGATATTTATAAGCTTAGGGAATCAATTGTGTGTGTGTACCTTTACTTTCCCAAGTTAAGCTCCATCTTCTGTTACCATTGTCAGCAGTAATATCGCTCTTTATATATCTTCACTCATTCCAATCTTCAGTATTGGTATTTCGTTCTATGAACACCTTCATCTAACTCTTCGTCTTAATTCTTCTACAAGTTTCTTTTGTACAAATAAGAAACCATATACTTCTTATTTTTCTTTCGAATGGAGATCAAAAGAATGTATTATGAAAATCCTTCGACATCTCGTAACTTTTTTTCACTATGCAAGAACTTTTCAATAACTATTGCTAAAATTGTCTGCTTTTTATTGCACTCTGCACAACACTTTGTGCATTTAAAAGAGCTTCCAATTTTTTAAAAAATATTTTTACTTTATGAAAGTTTTCGAATTTGCAACTAGATATTACTTCCTATTTGGATTTTAAAACGCAAAGCTATTATATCTTGAAAGTAATTTCTCGTATACGTTTTCTGTAAATCAATACAGAATATTTTCTTTATAGAAAAATTAATCTATATGTTTATATCCCTTCAAGACCCGAATTATTTTTATCCTTAAATATGAAATTTTTCTGGTTATTAATACTATATTGACCCCAATGACACTGGGAAAAATAATAAAAAAATTCCCTGTCCCCCCTGGAACGTAGATGGTACCCGCCAGATCGTGCGGGTTGGGCGTTTTGTGTGAAATCAGCACCTGTGAAATTTTGCCTCTTTTGGCTCTAAGTTGATAAAAGAAACACACTCAATTCAACTAAAATTGTTACAAATAAAAAACTTATTGATGCAAAATTATTTTATTGACTCATTATTTATTTCCTGTGGAAATCTTTAAAACTTGTTTTTTTTTCATAAGCATAAATATACATTCCATTTTTTACAACATGTTTTCGAACTGCTTTCGTAGTTTTCAAATCTGCACTTGAAATGTCATCAACACATAGAAAATGGTTATGCGTGTCAAGCCTTTTTATCCTGGAATGGCCAGGATAAAAGGTGCGATATGTATAGCAGGTGGATCATAACACTTCTATCTTTTTGCGAGTGGAATCATAACAGTTCTATTTTTTTGCGAGTGGAATCATAACACTGTTATCTACATCAGTTAAAATGCTTTTAGTAGATGGAGAGGCTGCTAACGCTTCAGCTATTTCTAACTTAAATTTTAAGCAATCCATTTTGATTTTTGGAAGAATTTTATTTGATATTGCATTTTGTTTGCACAGAAATCAAGAATTTGCAACAGCTAAAACAATGAAATAAATATGTTCAAGAGACATTGATGATAAAGAATGATCTAAAATTGTCTTTCAATTTGAAATATTTCCATGTTTTTCTTCATCGCTCTCATCTGAACTTGATTCTACCTTCAGTATACGTGATTCATATGTTATGTTCACAGCATTATCATCATCCGAGAGATCACTAAGTTCTGATCTAAGCTCAATCTGATTTATTGTG